ACCTAGCAAAGAAGAGGTGTATTTGTCGCCAGATTTTGAAGCAAAACTACTTCTTGAAAATGTCACTTTCCACGGGTTACACGACTGTGCACTGTCTGTTAGTACCGAACAAAACATACGAGGGCTCATCTCGGTGAAAAACTGCAGATTTCTCAACAATTATCAGTTTGTGAATCGATTATATGAACGAGCAACTATCCAAATTGAATTTCCGAAGGACGATCCGCCGAAATGTCCACGTGCAACAAAAGGAAATGAAAGTAAGGAACTGGTCTGGGACAAGAAGTCAGAGCTACCGGTTATAATTGAAGATACTTTATTTGAAAACAACGTGGGCATCGCTGGAGCATTGAGCTTTTTGAATGGCAACGTCACTATCAAGAACTGCGCATTTAAAAACAATGAGGGAGTGGCTTTGGGAGGTCATGTATATATGAAGACAGGCTTCGGCATTCTGAACATCAATAATTGTAGCTTCCTGCAAAAAGAAACAAGTTTGATAGGCCATTCCAACGTGTCAGCCGTTGGTTGTTTTCTTAGATCCGAGAGCGCTGGTCCGTTAAAGATTAAAAATTCGTCTTTTGTAGCAGACGTTAGTCAAGAATTCGATCCAATCTTTGCTGTGACGAAAAGCAATACGATTAAGATCGATAGTTCGACCTCCTTCAAATGTCCAGATGGAAAACAGATCACGCTCAAAAACATCGCCAGACAAGCCGGTTTCGAACTTGTTAGAGAAGGTAAGACTTGCTGGATAAGCGTAGCTTATGTCAAATTTTTTTGTGGAGAGTGTCAGGATGGATTCTATAATTTAAAAAGAGGATCTTCCAGTGGTCTGGATATTCACAAGGAAACAAAATGTCTTAAATGTCCTTACGGGGCGATGTGTGAAAATGGAGACATCGAAGCCCAAGAAAACTTTTGGGGCTGCTACTCTTCACCACTATCAACTAAGCTAGAGTTTCATCCCTGTCCACTGGAATACTGTCGACCTCCTACCCGTCCTAATACTTATGCTTTTAATGGTTGCCATGGCAGCAGGACAGGCGTTTTATGCGGCCAATGTACTAAGGGATTTAGCGAAGACTTATATTCCACATCTTGTCGAGAGAGAGAAAAATGCCATGATCACTGGTTTTGGATAGCGAGTTTAATCTACGTAATAATGTTGTCTCTCTACCTCGTTTTCAAGCCGCCTATCTTCCCGTGGCTGTACCGGCAATGCTTGTGGTTTAAAAAGAAATCCAACAGCAGCCAAAGACAGGCAGCACCACATGAAGGAAACGATGAAGAACACGATGCCGGGTATTTCAAGACCATCTTCTACTTTTATCAAGTTGCTGAAATACTGATGATCAAGTCCCCTGAGGCAGCCCTTCACATAGTTCCTTTTGTTACGCCAGTCATTGCACTTTTTAATTTCCAGATACGGACCATTAATGGCAGCATTGGATGCCCATTTCCTGGCTTCAATGTTGTCACCAAAGAGCTGTTTTTGTGCTTGAAGTTCTTAGCGACGTTGCTCTCCATTGTCATAATTTATGCCATCCATCGAGTCATAAGTCGGTTCCGGCACATTCCTAAACCTTCCCTTACACTATACCTGGCTGTGGTTCTGGAGACCCTGTTACTAGGCTACGAGACCCTTGCAGATACATCTCTGAAGCTCATGCACTGCGTTCCCGTAGGGCGGGAGTGGCGTCTGTTCATAGATGGAAACATCCATTGTTGGCAGTGGTGGCAGTATATGCAAATTGTCTTCATCTTGGTATTTATCATTCCCCTTGTGCTCGTCCTCTTCTGGGGATCGCTGATGCTTTCCAAAGACAAATTGTCCGCCAAGGAGTTCTTGACTTCCTGTGCATTTCCTTTGCCTTTTCTTTTCATCTGGCTCTATCGCTACGTTTTCAAGAAACCAAGTTTGCACGAGTTTAAACTGTTTTGGGGGAATACCCACGACGCCGAAGAAATTAAGAAAGTTCTCCATGATCCATTCCGTCCACCCTGTGGTGATGACCATGGTACATTGTACTGGGAGAGTGTGCTGACCGGTCGGAGGTTCCTACTACTGACCATTCGTAACTTCATCACTGATCCTTTAACGCGATTCATCTGTTTGGATTTCGCATGTGTTGTAACTTTGGTGCATCATCTTGTGTCGAGACCATTTCGTAACCGTAAGGCCAACATATGTGAAGCCCTTTCTCTTATGAGTCTTGTTGCTATTTGCACTTTCAACTTGGCAGAAGTCACCCTTATCGCCCAGGGACTCGAGCCTACTGGACCAAGAGAGAACCTTTTCTACGCGTTGGAGTGGATGGAAGTCGCTTTGCTTGGCTTTCTACCAGCTATAGCCTGCATCCTGGTGGTGCTTGCGGCCTTATCTCAAGTCATACGAGTGCCGTACTACTGCCTCAGACTATTACGAAGAACCGTGTGTCGGCGTTCTCATTTCTAAAAGTCCTGTCAAATCATTGTGCAGATGGATATAACAAGGACTGTCATGTGTAATGTTTACCATGTCATTACCTTGTAAATTGTTTCGTACTGTTATGTCTTTACCATCAGTATACCAACTTTCAGCAACTTTAACATAGTTTATTTGATTACTCTAACACTCTAACACTGTTTTATGAGTGAATGTGTTCTACAGCTCGTAAGTTAAAGTCTTCTGAATAGTTTCTGAGGTTGTAAGTTTGTGTAGATCTTCCATGGTAACTAAAATGAGATAAGTAGCAATTTTTAAACTTTTTGCGACCAATGTAAAGAGTAGACAAAAACACCTTTTATTTAAGTAAATAATTTGTTGTCAGTCCTTCGTGTTGATATATTGTCACTTTACAACGAAAGACTTTTATTTGCAAGTTATGGAAAACTACGTAGGTTTAAGAGTTAAGCTTGCATCATTCTGGAAATTTAGGGTCCTTAGAAATCTTAATGAAATGAAAACAGTAAGGCATCGAGCACTAAAAGGTAGAATATCTTTGTCATTTGTGGGAATGTGTCCTCCGTTAGATAACAATTTTCCACTCTTAGTTAACAAATTTTACCATTGTGCTAAGATATTGTTTTTTGCGAGGTGCCAATAAAACCATTTTAAATTTATTCTTTCGAATTGGTTCTTTCCAGCTTCGAAATTATTAATGAATTTTTTAACGTTTGAACGATTTTGATCGAAACATTCCCCATGGTTGGCCCTTAAATTGAGTCCTGCATAAGAATCACTTGATGAGAACAGATGATAACAATTTAGCTACGCTGTGTGCACGAGCTCAACCGTTCATTTGTAGCCCGCATTTGTATCGGGCACAATGGTCTTTAGGCCAATAAACATGTAATTTCTAAGTAAACAAAGAAGATCCCGTAGGAGACCATTCCATTTCAGTAACATTTTTCTTGCGTTAGCGGAAAACTTCTTGTTGTCTTGCTGATATTCTTATGATATGAGAAACAGTCTGGAAAATTTTGATCCCTCTTAGTCCATGTTAGTTGATAGACATCGATAGATAGAAGGGTCAATAATTTTTCTTTTTTCTTTATGATCTTTCAGAACATTTTCAACGAATTTCTTCATCAAGCCAGTTACTGGCAATATATTTTCAACTTGAAATGGCTGGTAATACAAGCATTGAAAAAGATGAACGATATCTACTCAACGACTCATGACTACATTACGTTATTTTATACTTTCGGCGAATTCTGGACAACATGTCTTGAGAAAAGACTTCAGACTAAATTTAGGCTATTCGTTAGCCTGCGGAGCTGTCGTCTTATTAGAGCGAGTAACGTAATAAGCTGGCGATCGTTTATTTGACCAGCTATATTTGATTTCTAGCCAGAGTACACGGTGGGGCTAGGGGGCCGGAAAAGGCGGAAAATTTCAATTTCCCACCACCTTCCTTCTCCTTACTTTTGACCGTCGCTATCCCTCCGATTCAAATTGCTTTCTCTCCCCTATCTTTTGCTGCTGTAAGAATTAAAGATGGCAGCTATAATTTTCACTAAGAAAATACTGAACAATCGCTCGCCAAAATTACACCTGCTCGGCAGGCTAGCCATTCATCAGACGCATGTCTCAGGCCGTCGTTTCCATTTTGCTGTTATTCTGTTCGAGGAGGTAAATTTAAACGAGAAAGAAACGATGACAGAACATTGAGTCATGAATGATGTTTTCACAAAATGCAACTTTCTGACTGAAAAAACCTGAAAGAGCTTGCCTTTTTTTGAAAATTAGCTGTGAAATTTTCGTTCAGTTTTTTTCATTATTGTCGTTTACGAAGAGCAATTTTAGATTATTCCTCTAGTTTTCTTAAATAACCCTTTAAATAACACTTGATTAAATAACTATTAAATAATTATTGATTAATTTTCAATCAAAGTTGCGTAATTGTTTAGGCCTGTATATGATGGCTTGGTTTCTACCCTAAAAATTTGAAAGAGCTCAACATAGTTTGAGAGGTAACTGTGGTGTTGCGTCGGTAAGGGTATAACAAGATAATTTGGTTGCTGAGTTGATGATATCTTGTAAAAACCCTCACCGACAGAGCACCACATTTTCTTTAGATATTTAACCCCTATCACTCCTTGATGACCACCAAATTGAATACACGCCGAGATCAGTATCTATTCACCTATTTCCAATAGAATTGTTGGTACATACGGCGAGTAACAACGGATAAACAGCGAACATTTCGAATTGGCTACAAAAAACTTCGATTTCCGAAACGGTCGCCATGTTGTGACGTCACGTGGTTATCAAATCTGATAACTGATTGATTGATTAATTAATTAAATCTTTATTAGTAAACCAAACACTTGCAGACATACGTGCAAGTTTATAATACAATAGAAGGGGAGTTATCTAAAAAGTATAACTTTCTTTACAAACATTAAACTTGATAAAGTTAAAAAGAGATCTATTTAAAAAGCAGCTCTTAAAGCCCTCTGTGCGAATACGCGGTAGCATATAGTCAAGACCACGTTGATGTAAAGATTGATAATTATGTATGTTTTTTCGGTAGAAGATCTGTTAAACAATGTGTATCTGTAGCTGTGATTTTTTTCCATAGTTGTTTATCGCTAATTTGAATTACATCACTGCGCTCCCTGGTGTAGCCATAGTTCCATGCTCGCTTGCAGAATTTATCGATCTTAGAGAGGTATTTTCCACCATAAGCACATGCCCATACTTCAATTGCGTTTGTAAATACGGACATGATTAAGCTATGAAATAAGATCGTAAGCTCTTCTAAAGTCCTGATTCCAGACTAAAGCTCTAATCCCAGACAAAAGAATCTAAAGTTCTAATCCTCAGACTGTTCACCCCTTCATTCATTTGACGTCTCATCGCTGTGACCACTAAGCTCTTAGTGTTTTTCACTACACACTCACTCGCTTGACTACACAGACTTGGCTTGTCACACGCAACAATCAGCACCTTTTCACGCACTCGCGCTTGAGATATTTAGAATTAATGTACATTGGGACGGGTATAAGAATCAGTGGTTCTCGGGTTCTGGTAGGAACCGACTCAAAATGGGGACGAATGGACCGAAATTTAGTATGAAATGTCAAAGGGTACGAAACGACAGGGTAACAACGATAGGATTAAATTTTTTTGCCGAAAGTTTTCGAAAAAAAAACAATATGTTTGGTTTTTTTATAATAAAAAAAATCTGTTTATAGCTCATTTCAACGGGAAATTCCCTGCTCTCGACTGCTCACTGTTTTAATTTCTTTACAGAAACGCCTCTATTGACCTAAACATGAGTAGGAAAATACCTATTAGCGAACGAAAACTTACAAATAAACTCACAATAAAGAAAAATATTTACGTTACCGGTGCATAGCTTTACAAGCAAAAAACGACGACGCTGCTTCTTAAAAATTGGACATAAAAATTGATCCACAGCGCTAAATTTATACACAAAACCTGACAAATTACTCGAAAATACAACTAATGAAAACACTCGCACGTAATAAACACGTAAACGAAATACACACGGTAAACTCTCTGACAATAAGTTTTGCGATAACAATGCATCACAGTCAGTGATGTTACTTTTTGCTCGTGTTCCTCATTCCAGCGTCATGTACATTGAAACGGAATTAAAGGCCGCCAATTTCAGCCTAAAGGTTTGCTGAGAGCCTTGGGATGAGGCGATACTAGGGTATCGCGGTACTCAAACCGTTAGAGCTTTCAAATTAGTTCCGTGGACTGCTAATGCGTAGATTAGTAACACCCGACCTCAGCGAGATGCAACTATGAAACACGTTGACGAAGGGTCCCCTGAAAGGAAACGAAAGTGCTCACGTTTGGACAAAACATTCTGATTAAAGCGTGATGTAAAAATAACTGGGGCGTAGTCGATGACAACCCATATCTCCATTACACAGTTGTATTACAATACATTTAGACTTCAATTTTTTTGAAACCAGAAGATCGACGATCTGACAAATAGTTCCATCTGAGTAAAAGAAAGCCACAAGTTCTTATTAAAGAAGAAAATAAAATTGTTTTGGGAAGGCACGTTTACAAAGAGGTGATCAAAAGTTCGTCATGCTCAGAGATTACGGTACTAAACTGTTTACATGAAGGAGGGCAAGGACGCTTAACCTTATGGTTGCGTAAGCACGTAATATCTACTCGCAAAAAGATTGAAAATTCTCAGTCTTACATGAAAAACTAGAATCTGATTGCATTGCCGTACACATACGCACGGGATGTTGGTGATCAGTTTAACTCGAGAACGTAAATTGATGACCCTTTTCTTAACGAAGGTTTCTGCGATTCGGCGTAAAATATTGAGTTATATTAAGCTTGATATGTAATGCCGGCTTCTTACTGCACGTGTGCCTGTTGATTTTAAAAAGGTCAGTATGAACGTATCGAAACTGCTTACTCAAGAAAATATTTGGTAAAAAAAAAAGTGAATAAATACTCCACCTTCAACTGAGTCCTATTTTTAATTCACTTTGTAATTTAGCGTAGACTTCAAGAGTCACGGGTAATAGCTGACTACTCAAGCATAAAATAAAAACTATATAACCCGGGTAGTAAACATGAACTGTGAATAGGAAGATAACACCTCAGCAAGTAAGGTTCAATAACCTTCCAGAAATCGCAAGTCTCGGAAAATGAAAGAGTTGGCATCAGTTTTTGGATTTGTGGCCCTTTTCTTCTTATCATGCTGTAAGTATATGAAGTGTTTTGGTGTAATTGTACTTAATTAGTCTGTATAAGTCGCCCGTTTACGCCGTATTTCCTGTAGGGTCAACCGTCCTTTTCCATGTGGCTATACTGAACTCATTGGTACGTGCTTCATTCCTCCTTTACGGTAGACCTCTTCAGTTCACAAAGTCTAATTTGCTTTGCTTTAAATGGTACATTGAAAAAAAAAAGGAAGATATACGTGAACCAGTTTTCTGATAATTTCTTGCGGATGCGCACATTTTAAAACAAAGTTTTTTGGGGGGGCCTTGCTAATGGTCGTTGCAACTGGTTTTTACCCTTTCATCGTCAGAAGTCGATTAAGCACATTTTCGTGGCTCAAGTATCCTTAACGAAAAACCTGCAGTTTCGAGAAATGCTACAGCCGCCGAATGGTTGACAATCGTCGCTAACTGAAAAAGGGAAGCTGCTTCCAAACAGTTCTTAGCTTTTCTCGGTTCGAAAACTGATTTGATTTGTCAGTGTCTTTTAGTTACTAACACATTCTAGCGGCTGCCGGCTAATGGACGAACACGCAGCGAAATTTTGTTGATGATTATCTTAAAAATGGACTTTCTATTTTATTTCCTGCTTAGGCCTAAATAATGGTCGGGTTCCTTCATAGGAAATTGGAAAAGCTCAATATGTTTTGAGAGAAACTTAAAACCCAGATCAGAGACGATTGTCTCGCAATTGAAATAAATTAAAACTCTTACTTTCGATTCTGTTCACTGTTCTGTTTCCAAAAACGCCTCTATTGACCAAAGTTCAGTCAATTAGGATGGAAGATGTAGTCAAAACCATTTTTCTTGTTCGTTTTTTTTTTTAATAAAAAAACTTTATTTTCTCTTCCTCTGCTTCTACTTCGTGTGAAAGAAGTAGACTTCATCGGGTGTTATTAAACTGCGCATCAGCAGACCGCGGAACCTCCGGAACCTCTGTGAATATGCAAATAAGTTCACGCTGCGTATTGGGTGAAATATAAGGATTTGCAAGGAATTGAACCTTCGCGCTCTCAATCTTTAAAATGTCTGGTCTAGTTTTGAACAAAGATAAATTGACCCCACTCAAGTAGTTGTGTTCTTTTGCATCGTGTGAACTGTTTGGGCTGATTTAGGGAAAGTTAGCTCGGTTTTAGTTCAGCTGCTTAACCCTCTACGTAATCTTTTACAAGAGAAGTCTGTGAGTAACACCAACCAAACGAATCCACTGGAAGCAAAACGCTGCGAGTTCGCGAGTCCGGACGCCCCGATCACCCCCGATCTACAAGCATGAAACCGAAGTCACGCGTAATTGTGTTCATCATTTATTTCAAAACATCCAAACGGCTAAAGTACTAAACATGAGTACGAAAATACGTATTAGAAAGCGAGAATTACAAATAAATTCAAAATAATGATAGTTTTACCGGCAAACAACGACGATGCTGCTTCTTAAAAAGTGGACAAAAAATTGATCCACAGTACTAAATTTATACACAAAACCTGAAAAATTACTTGAGAGTCGATAATGTTACTTTACGGTCGTGTTCCTCATGCCAGCGTCACTGTACAATGAAACGGAATTAAAGGCCACCGATTCTAGCTTAAACTGAGGTTTGCTGAGAGCCTTCTGATGAGGATGTTACTCGGATACCGTTAGAGCTTTCAAATTATGGTTCAATTATTAACACTCGGGGTATGTGGCTGCTGATTGGTCCTTATGACATTACACACCCCTGCTCGGTGAATATCGCCACAATTCAAGTTGGACGTCAAGCGCAATGAAGACATTTTTTTTTTTTTTTAAAGCGTGATATACAAATAACTAAGGCGTAGTCGATAACCCATGTCTCTAATACACAGTTATGTAACACTGCATTTAGACGTCAATTTTTTTCAAAACAGGAGATTGACGACCTAACAAATAGTCTCATCTGAATAAGGGAACGCTTACAAGTTCTTATAAAAAATTATAACATTATTTTAGCAAAGCACGTTATAAAAGAGGAAGGTGATCAAAAGCTCGTCCTGCTCAAAATTTTCATGAGATTCAGTTACTTCGCGAGACTGATTACATGAAGGAGGGCAAGGACGCGTAACCTTAGTTGCGTAACCGCCCATGATCTACTCTCAAAGGGAACGTAGGTTCACGACCCTCTTCTTAACGAAGATATGCTTTCATATGCATGTTTAGACGATTTCCTTTCTAAAAATTTGTACGATTATCAAATATTTATAAATTCGATACCATTCGACAAATCAAAACAAAGCAAAAAGCGTGCATTTCAATCGCCAGGAGGACTTTTCTTTTTGCGAGAAATAGAAAATAATTCAGCACAAGGTCACAATTCCACTGTTATCTCTGTTATCTTTAGGTGCGGAGGACCAAGGGAGTGATTGTCTTTACGTATCCCATCTCAGCGGTGAAGACTTGCCTCAATGTGGCTCTTTTGCTGTGCCCTGCCAGACATTACCACAAGCGCTACTTCTAGTAAACGATGGAGGCAAAATTTGCCTCAACGGAACAAACAGTGAGTCAAATCCATACGAATGTTTGAAAACGGTTGGTCCTAATGGAACGAAATTGAGAGCTGTGGGGAAACGAGTATCGATACAAGGCGTGTCCTCCCCAGCACACATTTCGTGTGGCTTAGTATTTGCATCAAGGTTGAAATATGGCTCTGTCAAGGTTTCTTTCTCAAACCTTGTATTCAACAATAGTAGGTATGGATTAGTTTTCTTAAATGTGCCCTCCAATCATGTCGTCATCTTCAAGTGCAAATTTATCAATTGCTATAGGGCCATTTTCATGTTGTGGGAAGGACGTCAGGGTTCTGCTTTCATCAATCAAAAGTCTTCACTTGAGGTTACTGATAGCAAATTCCACAACAACACATTCAGCATACAATTTGGTCCAAAGTACAAAATTGGTTCCGTTAAAGTTTCTCTGTCAAACCTTCTTTTCGACAATGGCACTTATGGTGTAGTCCTCGTCGATGTGCCCTCCTATGATGTCGTCATCTCCGATTGCAAATTTAACAATTGCTATAAGGCCATTTTCATGTTGTGGGAAGGAAGTCAGGGTTCTTCTTTCATCAATCAAAAGTCCTCACTTGAGGTTACTGATAGCAAATTCCGCAACAACACAATCAGTATAGAATTTGGTCCAAAGTTCAAAAACGGTCCCATTAAAGTTTCTCTGTCCAACCTTCTTGTCGACAATGGCACGTATGGTGTAGTCCTCGTCAATGTGTCCTCCTTTGATATCGTCATCACCAAATGCAAGTTTTTCAACTTCTCTGAGGCAGCCGTTGGTCTGTTCTGGAATGAGATTAACTACGTCATCCGTGAAAAGAGTAGTCTTGTAGCCACCGATAGTAAATTCCGGTATAATGCAAAATCTATTCTTGTCATGCTCCCTAACGACTTCTTTGAGATGACCGTATCAAGATGTCTTTTCCAGAATGCGAAGGGACGATTTCATGTTACAAATGATGATAGAAGTATAAAAGGTGCCGTGTTTGTCCGTTCCCAAGCTAGTACCGTTACAACGTATCCTATCCGCGTGTTAGTCTCAATTACTGACTCTATTTTCCAAGATCTTGGTCATAAAGACAACAGCTTCGCTGTATCCATAAGAGTTGACAACCTCTTTGGCGATGGGAATGTATCATTATTTAACACGTCGTTTCTTAACAACGAAAATTCTGTCTTTGTGCACGGCGGGTTTAAAGTAAATTTGACTCACGTGACGGTTCATTCCACATACGGGTATGCTATCATAGCCAGCGCTCCCCCTAAAACATTAATCAAAGCGCCAGGTGTAAAGGTCTTCCTTGAAAGGTGCGTCCTGGTGGACAACCGGATTGGCATAAGGATGTCAACGACTACTTGCTTAGATAATACGGATAGGTATTGTTCAACGGGCGACCAAACGCTTGTTGTCAAAAACAGTCTTATATTGGGAGGTAATGAAACATTAGGCACTGGTGATGCAGTCAGATTTGGAATGAGTTTCCCCAAACAGAACTATAGTCGTGCGGTCTTGAGGCCAAGAAAAGAAGAGGTGTATTTGTCGCCAGATTTTGAGGCAAAACTACTTCTTGAAAATGTTACTTTTCGAGGGTTACATGATTGTGCTCTTTCAGTTAGTGTAGAAAGGAATGTTAGTGGACTGATTTCGGTGAAAAACTGCAAGTTTCTTAACAACACTCAGTTTGTGAATAGACTAGATGAACGAGCAATTGTCCAAATTGAGTTTACGAATGTCGATCCACCCCAATGTCCGCATAAAAGAAAAGGAAACAAAAGTGAGGAACTAATGTGGAACAAGACATTTGAGTTACCAGTAATATTTGAAGATACTCGATTCGAAAACAACGCTGGTATCGCTGGAACTTTGAACTTGTTAAATGGTAATGCCACGTTGAACAACTGCACCTTTAAAAACAACGAAGGAGTAGCCATGGGAGGTCAAGTGTATCTGAGGACAGGTTTTGGAATTCTTAACATCGTTAACAGTAGTTTCCACCAAACAAAATCGGCGGAACGTTACCGTGGATCGAGAACTGGTTGCTTTCTTCAATCTGAGAGCGCTGGTCAGCTGAAAATTGAACAATCGTCCTTTATAGCTGATGACAATAGGCAATACGATCCAATCTTCGCAGCTACGAAAAGCAGTTCCATACTGATCGACCAATCATCATCCTTTCGATGTCCAAGCGGAAGGCAAATAACTATCGAGAAAATCACCCAAGAGGACGGATTTGAACTTGTGAAGGGAAGTGAAACCTGCTGGGTAAGAGTGCAATATATCAAATTACTCTGTGAAGAATGTTCAGATGGTTTCTACAGCTTGAAGAGAGGATGGGCCAGTGGCTTTCATGTTCACGAGGAAACCAAGTGCATCAAGTGTCCCTTCGGAGCAAAATGTGAGCGCGGAAACGTTTTAGCTCAAGAAAACTTTTGGGGTTCTAAAGTTAATAGAACCTCATCTACTCTGCAATTCATTCCATGTCCATTGGAATACTGCAAAACTCCAACTCATTCAGCTACTCACGCGTACAATGGTTGCTATGGTAGCAGAACAGGTGTATTATGTGGCGAATGTGCTGAGGGATACAGTGAAGCCTTGTATTCCACGTCATGTCAAAAAAAGGAAAAGTGCCATGATCACTGGTTTTGGTTGGTGAGCCTGATTTACATACTAGCATTTGCACTGTACCTTGTTTTTAAGCCTCCTGTCTTCACGTGGCTGTATCGCCAGGGTGTTTGGTTTAAGAGGACATCCAATTCTTACAGCAGACTGGAAGCACCAAACGGAGATAGCATAGATAAACACGATGCTGGGTACCTGAAGATCACCTTCTACTTTTATCAAGTTGCCGACATATTGATAATCACTTCCAAAGAGACAACTGCTCACGTCATCCCTTTTGTTACACCAATCGTTGCACTATTTAATTTCCAGGTAAAGAATTTTAAAGGCAGTATTGGATGTCCATTTCCTGGTTTCACTGTTGTCACCAAAGAGCTGTTTTTCTCCTTGAAGTTCTTGGCAACCTTGCTCTCCATTCCCCTAATTTACACCATTCACCGAGCTATAAGCAGGTTCCGCCCCATTCCAAAGCCTTCGCTGAGACTATACCTGGCTGTTGTTCTGGAGACCCTGTTACTTGGATACAAAACCCTCGCAGATACATCCCTTACTCTCATGCACTGCGTTCCCGTAAAGCTGGAGTGGCGTCTGTTCATAGATGGAAACATTCAGTGCTGGCAGTGGTGGCAGTACTTACAAATTGTCTTCATCTTGGCATTTGTCATCCCCCTTGTTCTCGTCCTTTGCTGGGGATCGCTGATGCTTTCCAAAGACAAAGTGTCCGCCAAAGAGTTCCTGACATCGTGTGCATTTCCTCTGCCCTTTCTTTTTATCTGGTTGTTTCGTTGTTGCAAGAGGAAAGGATATACAAGCCAGTACGAATACCTCCCGGGTAGCTCCAAGGATACCGATGACATAAAAAAAGTTCTTTACGACCCATTCCGTTCAGCTTCTGATGGTGACCATGGTACTTTGTACTGGGAAAGCGTTCTGGTAGGTCGAAGGTTTCTTGTGCTAACTATTAGTACCTTTATCATCAACCCTTTGAAAAGATTCGTTTGTTTAGGAATTGCATGTGTTCTGATCTTGGCGCATCATCTTCTAATGAGGCCATTCCGCGACCGAAAGGCCAACATCTGTGAAAGTCTGTCTCTTGTGAGTTTGACTGCTATCTGCACGTTCAACTTGGCCAAAGTCACCATTATCGCCCAGGGACTCGAGCCTGCTGGACCGGAGATAATCTTTTTTCATGCTCTAAGGTGGATCGAGGTTGCCTTGCTTGGCTTCCTCCCAGCCATGGCCTTCATCCTTGTGATTCTTGTGGCTTTCTCTCAAATCGTTCGCCTGCTGTACCATTGCGTGAAGCTTTTGCACTGATGCACCGCGATCATTGTGTAGCTGAATTCGGAAAAGACATTTAGGATACTGGTTACGGATTAAAAGACACTTCAATGTCGTAATGGTACTTTTACTGTTTTTTTTTTCTCTTATGTCAGTGTTGTCAGTTTGAGGACATTAAGCTGCGTGTAGAGTTTGACTAATTTGATACGTCATTATTAATAAGAGTGTTTAATTAATAGCTTGAGTAGAAGGATTACATCGGAACTTTTCACCTTAAATTTAAAGTGGCAATTCAAAACACTGCCTTAGACAGTATCTTAGTAAAGGTTCATTAAAAGCTTTAGGAGCTTGTACATATATGCTTTTAAAAGTAGAGAACGAGTTTTTCATTTAAGCTTGGCTGTCATATCGGCGGTGTAAAAGTACTAGGATTTTTTTCCATCTGAGTAGAGACAGTTAGATGAGTTTACAAGACAGTATTCCCAAGATTGCGTAAATAACCACCTCAAATTCGGTGCAAGAATACTGAGTGGGGAAAACTTAATGACGATTTATTATCGGAGATAGCCAGTCTTTGAGCTTACATAATGTAGGTGACGAAGAATTTCTTATAACTTTACCGAAAACTTATTGGATGAGCACTTGTATAATACTGAGCGGGACTAGTTTCCTCTTTAATTTGGAAGCAATTTTAGAGCAGTTTGTTTATAAATTTTGTTTTCTCATACTTGAACTATTGTTAGTCGATTATTTTTTAAGGTTTTAGTTTCTGAAAGGTGTCAGTTTTCGCGACATTAATCAAGAAAGTGAATGCCATGCACTTGTATAGTGCATGGCATTCACTTTCTTTCGCGCTCTTAATCTTCAAAATGTCTGGTCCAGTTCTAGCTCGGTTTTTGTTCAGCTGTTCAGCCCTCTACATAATCTTTTCCAAGATATGTCTGTGAGTAATGCCAACCAAACGAATCCACTAGAAGCAATACGCTGTGAGTTAGCGAGTCCGGACACCCCGATCACCCCGAAATTCTACAGGCATGTAACCGTGGTCAAGCGTAATTGTGTTCATCATTTATTTAAAACCATCAAAGGCTTACGGTACTAAACATAAGTAGCAAAATGCATATTAGAGAACGAAAACTTACAAATAAATTCACGATAATATTTACCTTAACGGTGCATAGCTTTACAGGCAAAAAACGACGACGCTGCTTCTTAAAAAGAGAACATAAAAACTGATCCACAAGATTAAATTTATACGCAAAACCTGACAAATTACTCGAAGATACAACTAATGAAAGTATAAACACTCGCACGTAATTAACACGTAAACGAAGTGAACACAGAAGACTATCTGACAATAAGTTTTGCGATAACAATGCATCACAGTCAGTGATGTTACTTTTTGCTCGTGTTCCTCATTCCAGCGTCTAGTACATTGAAGTGGAATTAAAGGCCGCCAATTTCAGCCTAAAAGTTTGCTGAGAGCCTTGGGTGTTACAAGGATATCTCAAACCGTTAGAGCTTTCAAATCATTGTTCAATTATTGTTTAAGTTGCCGAACGTCGAGGGCAATTAAAACATATTTTTCTTTTAAAGGAATCTTCTTTATACATGAAAACGACCTCTTAAATAGCGGACTTTTTAGTTTTATAAATTATTTCATAACTATTCTTGACAAAAAATATAGGGTTCCGCAGGTTCCACAGGTTCCGCAGGTTCCACAGGTTCCACAGGTTCCACAGGTTCCTCAGGTTCTACAGGTTCTACAGGTTCCACAGGTTCCTCAGGTTCCACGGGTTCCACGGGTTCCACAGTTTCCACAGTTTCCACAGTTTCCACAGGTTCCACGGTTTCCGCGGACTGCTGATGCGTAGCTTAGTAACACCCGACCTCAGCGAGATGCAAGGGTCCGCTGAAAGAAAACGAAAGTGCTTACGTTTGGACAAAACATTCTCATTAACATTCTCATTAAAGCGTGATGCAAAATAACTGTCGATGACAGCCCATATCTTAAATAAACAGTTGTATTACATTGCGTGTAGACGCCAATTTGTGAGAAACCAGGAGATTGATATGACAATCTAACAAATAGTTTCATCTGAGTAAGAGAACGCTTACAAAATCGCTTATAAAAGAAACAGATAAAATTATTTTAGGAAAGCCCATTTACATAGAGGTGATCGAAAGTTCGTCATTCTCAGAGATTTTCGTAAGATTTTTCCTTTCGGCGCCAGACTGTCTACATGAAGGAGGGCAAGGACCCGTAACCTTACGGTTGCATAACCACTCAATATCTGCTCGCAAAGCGATTGAAAGCTCTCGATCTCACATGAAAAACTAGAATCTCTGATCACCCCGAAATTCTACAGGCATGTAACGAAAGTTACGCGTAATTGTGTTCATCATTTATGTAAAAACATCAAAGGCCTACGGTACTAAACATGAGTAGGAAAATGCATATAAGAGAGCGAAAACTTACAAATAGACTCACAATAAAGAAAAATATTTACCTTAACGGTGCATGGTTTTAAAGATAAACAACGACGACTCTGCTTCTTAAAAAGTGGACATAAAAATTGATCCACATGACTAAATTTATACACAAAACCTGACAAATTACTCGAGAGACGATGATGTTACTTTACGCTCGTGTTCCTCATTCAAGCGTCACTGTACAATGAAACAGAATTAAAGGCCGCCAATTTCAGCTTAAAGGTTTTCTGAGAACCTTCGGAGGAGGTGTTACTCGGATATCGCAAAACTCAAACCTTCAGAACTTTCAAATTATGGCTAAATTATTAACACTCTGGGTAGGTGACTGCTGATTGCTCCTTAGAACATTACATACCCTTGTACGGTAAATGTCGCTTCAGTTTAAGTTGGATGTCAAGGGCAATTAAAACATATTTTTCTTTTAAAGTAATCTTCTTTATACCCGGAAATAAACTTTCAAACAGTGTAAAGGCCTTTTAGTATTATATATTATTTGATAACTGTTCTTTTACAAAAATATAGGGTTCCGTAGGTTCCGCGGTTTGTTGATCCGAAGTTCAGTAACACCGACTTCAGCGAGACGCAACAATGAAACACGCTGACGAAGCAAAACCTATAGTGCGGCTCATTTCAAAGACAAATTCCCGGCTACAAGGAAACGAAAGTGCTTACGTTCGAACAAAATATTCTCATTGTAGCGTGATATAAAAATAACTAAGGCACAGTCGATAACAACCCATATTTCTAATACACAGTTATATCATATTGCATTTATACGTCAATTGGGTACAAAGCCACTGTAACAACGGTAGGGTTAGATTCTTTTGCCGGAAATTTTCGAAAAAATGTCATCAAGTTATCATGAAGAGGGGAAAATGAAACAACTATCCTCTCCTCTCTTGTCTCAGACAAGTATTCATAAATAATGAAAACTTTATTCCTCGAGGATACAGTTGCACTACAAATCCGTATCGTATGACCATCTATGCCTTAAACGTTTCAATTTTCAGCAAAATTTTTCTGTGTGTATAAAGCCACGTTAGTGTAAAATGGCGAACCAAATATAACAACGCGTTTAATGACCAACGGTTAGTGAATTAGCACGGAAGATGTAGCTCAAATATATTTTTTTCACAAAGAAAAAATTACCGGTCGTTTCAACGGGAAATTCCCTGCTGCAGACTTGGAACAAGCTTGACACCTCTTGTCTTGATTACACATTCCATTTTATTTTCTTTTCCTCTGCTCCTACTTCGTTTGAGAGAAGTACAGTTTATCGGGTGTGACTAAACTGCGGATCAGTAGACTGCGGAACCTCCAGAACCTCTGTGAATATGCAAATACGTTCACGTTGCGCATTGGGTGAAATATAGGGGTTTGCATGGAAATGAACATTCGCGCTCTCAATCTTTTAAAATGCCTAACAAGCGGTTGTTTTTTTGCATTATTTGAATTGTTTGGGCTGATTTCGGGAAACTTAGCTCGGTTTTAGTTAAGCTACTTAGCCCTCTACATGATCCTTTCCAATATATATCTGTGAGTAACGCCAGACGAATCCACTGGAAGCAAAACGCTGTAAATTCGCGAGACCGGACGCCCCGATCACACCCGGCGAAATTCTACAGACATTACTAGAACCGAAGTTACGCGTAATTGTGATCATCATTTACTTAAAAACATCCAAACGCCTACGGTACTAAAAGGAGTAGGAAAATACATATTAGAGAACTAACACTTTCAAATAAAGTCACTAAAAAGAGAAATATTTACCTTAACCTTGCATAGCTCCACGGGCAAAAAACGACGACGCTGCTTCTAAAAAAGTGGACATAAAAATTGATCCACAGGACTAGATTTATGCACAAAACCTGACCAATTACTCATAATTACGTAACATCACGCAACAGTACAAACGTGAACCACAAGAACACGATACAACTTAGCAATCAAAAGAAAAAAATACTCGCGGGTAGCTACCACGTAAACGAAATCATACACACAGAAAACTATCTGACAATAAGTTTCGCGATAACAATGCATCACAGCCGTTGATATTACCTTTTGCTCCTGTTCGGATGAGGCGTTTCTCGGATATTGCGGTACTCAAACCGTTAGAGCTTTCAAATTATGGTTCAATTATTAACACTCAGGGTAGGTGACTGCTAATTGGTCCCTATGACATTACACACCTTTGCACGGGGAATGTCAACACAGTTAAAGTTGGACGTCAGGGGCAATGAAAACGAATTTTTCTTTTAAAGTAATCTTCTTTATACCCGGAAACGAACTTTCAAACAGTGTTGAGGCCTTTTTAGTCTTGTTTCATTTCATTACTATTCTTTTACAAAAAATATAGGGTTGCGCAGGTACAGAAGGTTCCGCGGCTTCCACGGGCTCTGCAGGTCCCGCAGTCTGCGGATCCGAAATTTAGTAACACCGTCTTAAGCTAGACGCAACCATGAAACACGCTGACGAAGGAAAACCTCTATTGCGGCTTATTTCAAAGAGAAATTCCCGAATGCAAGGAAACTTGTATCTCTAACACACAGTTGTATAACATTGCATTTAGATGTCAGTTTAATTGTCTGAAACCAGGAGATCAACGATCTAACAAATAGTTTCAACCAACTAAGAGAACGCTTAAAAGTTCCTATGAAAAAAATGATGACGTTAAAAAAGAGAAAGATGATCAAAAGTTTGTCATGCTCAGGGATCTTTATGAGAGTTTTTCTTCGCCAGCCTGATTACGTGAAGGAGGGCAAGGACGCCTAACTACTCGATATCTACTTGCAAAGAGATTGAGTTCTCGAACTTAAATAGAAAAAAAAACTAGAATCTAATTGCACTGGAGTACACATGCGCTCGGGATGTTGGAGATCAATTAAACTAGAGATCGCAGGTTGACGACCCCCTTCTTAACGAAGATGTGCTTTCACATGCATGTTAAGACGATTTCCTTTCTAAAATTTTTACGATTATCCAATATTTATAAATTTGATGTCATTCGACAAAATCAAAACAAAGCAAAACGCGTGCATTTTAATCGTCAGGGAGCCTTTTCTTCTAGCGAGAAATAGAAAATAATTCAGCACAAGGCCACAATTTCATTACGACATCTCGGTTATCTTTAGGTGCTGAAGACCAAGGGAGTGATTGTTTTCACGTATCCCATCTTAGCGGTGACGACTCGCCTCAGTGTGGCTCTTTTGCTGTGCCCTGCTGGACATTACCACAAGCGCTTTTCCTGGTCAATGATGGTGGCAAAATTTGTCTCAACGGAAAAGACAGTGAGTCAAATCCATACGAATGCTTGAAAACGGATAGTCCTAATAGAACTGAATTCAAAATACAGACGCCTTTTGCTCAACGGGCGACCAAACGCTTGTTGTAAAAAACAGTCTTATACTGGGAGGTAAAGAAACATTAGGCACTGGTGATGCAATCAGATTTGGAATGAGTTTCCCCAAACAGAACTATAGTCGTGCGGTCTTGAAGCCAGGCAAAGAAGAGGTATACTTGTCGCCAGATTTTGAGGCAAAACTACTTCTTGAAAACGTTACTTTTCGAGGGTTACATGATTGTGCTCTTTCAGTTAGTGCAGAAAGGAATGTTAGTGGACTGATTTCGGTGAAAAACTGCAGGTTTCGTAACAACACTCAGTTTGTGAATCGACTAGATGAAAGAGCAATTGTCCAAATTGAGTTTACGAATGTCGATCCACCCCAATGTCCGCATAAAAGAAAAGGAAACAAAAGTGAGGAACTAATGTGGAACAAGGCATTTGAGTTGCCGGTAATATTTGAAGATACTCGATTCGAAAACATCGCTGGTATCGCTGGAACTTTGAACTTGTTAAATGGCAATGCCACGTTGAATAACTGCACCTTTAAGAACAACGAAGGAGTAGCCATGGGAGGTCAAGTGTATCTGAGGACAGGTTTTGGAATTCTTAACATCGTTAACAGTAGTTTCCACCAAACAAAATCGGCGGAACGTTACCGTGGATCGAGAACTGGTTGCTTTCTTAAATCTGAGAGCGCTGGTCAGCTGAAATTGAACAATCGTCCTTTACAGCTGATGACAATAGGCAATACGATCCAATCTTTGCAGCCACGAAAAGTAGTTCCATACTGATCGACCACTCATCCTCCTTTCGATGTCCAAGCGGAAAGCAAATCACTATCGAGAAAATCACCGAAGAAGACGGATTTGAACTTGTGAAGGGAAGTGAGACCTGCTGGATAAGAGTACAATATGTCAAATTACTCCGTGAAGAATGTCCAGATGGTTTCTACCGCTTAAAGAGAGGTTGGGCCAGTGGTTTCCATGTTCGCGAGGAAACCAAGTGCATCAAGTGTCCCTATGGAACAAAATGTGAGCGTGGAAACGTTTTAGCTCAAGAAAACTTTTGGGGTTCTAAAGTTAATACAACCGCATCTACTCTGGAGTTCATTCCATGTCCACTGGAATACTGCAAAAATCCAGCTGATTCAACTACTCACACGTACAATGGTTGCTATGGCAGCAGGACAGGTGTATTATGTGGCGAATGTGCTGAGGGATACAGTGAAGCCTTGTATTCTACGTCATGTCAAAAAAAGGAAAAGTGCCATGATCACTGGTTTTGGTTGGTGAGCCTGATTTACATACTAGCATTTGCACTGTACCTTATTTTTAAGCCTCCTGTCTTCACGTGGCTGTATCGCCAGGGTGTTTGGTTTAAGAGGACATCCAATTCTTACAGCAGACAGGAAGCACCAAACGGAGATAGCAGAGATAAACACGATGCTGGGTACCTGAAGATCACCTTCTACTTTTATCAAGTTGCCGAGATACTGATGATCACGTCCACAGAGACCACTACTTATGTCATCCCTTTTGTTACATTAATCGTTGCACTATTTAATTTCCAGGTAAGGAATTTTAAAGGCAGCATTGGATGCCCATTTCCTGGTTTCACTGTTGTCACCAAAGAGCTGTTTTTCTCCTTGAAGTTCTTGGCAACCTTGCTCTCCATTCCCCTAATTTACGCCATCCACCGAGCTATAAGCAGGTTCCGCCCGATTCCAAAGCCTTCGCTGAGACTACACCGGGCTGTTGTTCTGGAGACCCTGTTACTTGGATACAAAACCCTCGCAGATACATCCCTTACTCTCATGCACTGCGTTCCCGTAGAGCTGGAGTGGCGTCTGTTCATAGATGGAAACATTCAGTGCTGGCAGTGGTGGCAGTACTTACAAATTGTCTTCATCTTGGCATTTGTCATCCCCCTTGTTCTCGTCCTTTGCTGGGGATCGCTGATGCTTTCCAAAGACAAAGTGTCCGCCAAAGAGTTCCAGACATCATGTGCATTTCCTCTGCCCTTTCTTTTTATCTGGTTGTTTCGTTGTTGCAAGAGGAAAGAAGATACCTCCCAGGCAACTCCAAGGATACTGATGATATAAAAAGAGTTCTTTACGACCCATTCCGTTCAGCATCTCCCGGCTATGGCCTTCATCCTTGTGGTTCTTGTGGCTTTATCTCAAGTCGTTCGCCTGCTGTACTATTGTGTAAAGCTTTTGCACTAATGCACCGCGATCATTGTGTAGCTGAATTCGGAAAAGACATTTAGGATACTGCCTACGGATTAAAAGACACTTCAATGTCGTAATGGTACTTTTGCTGTTGTTTTTTTCTCTTATGTCAGCGTTGTCAGTTTGAGGACATTAAGCTGCATGTGGAGTTTGACTAATTTGATATATCCTTATTAATAAGAGTGTTCAACTAATAGCTTGAGTAGAAGGATTATATCTGAACTTTTCACAGTAAATTTAAAGTGGCAATTCAAAACATTGCCTTAGACAGTATCTTAGTAAAATTTCATTAAAAGCTTTAAGAGCTTGTACATATATGCTTTTAAAAGTAGAGAACGAGTTTTCCATTTAAGCTTGGCTGTCATATCAGCGGTGTAAAAGTGCTAGGATTTTTTTTTTTCATCTGAGTAGAGGCAGTTAGATGAGTCTACAAACGGTTTTCCCAAGATTACGTAAAGAACCGCTTCAAATTCGGTGCAAGAATGCCTGGTGGGGAAAACTTAATGACGATTTATTATCGAAGGTTGCCAATCTTTGAGGTTACGTAATGTAGATGACGCAGAATTTCTCATAACTTTACCGAAAACCTATTTGGATGAGCACTTGTACAATACTGACCGAGACTAGTTTCCTCTTTAATCTGGAAACAATTTTAGAGCAGTTTGTTAAGAAGTTTTGTTTTCTCATACTTGAACTATTGTTAGTTGATTATTCTAAGCTAATAGTTTCTCAAAGGTGTCAGTTTTTCGAGACATTTATCAAGGAAAGTGAATGTCATGCACTTGCATGGTGCATGTTGAAGTCTTAGGCCGTTATTATTAGCTGATTTTATATAAAGAACCTTGTTTTTAATCGAATTGTATGCGCCATTATTACGCACTCGTTTGCTTGGGGAAACCTCAATCCAGGGGACAGCCCTGACGGGAATTGTCAAAGGCAAGTTGGCTCTGTGAGTTACCTAAGTAACAACTCTGTAGTTATATGGTAATTTACTTCTACGGCGGGCTTATTCTGGATTTTATTTGGGTTATAGTTTGTGACTAATGATATCACATTTCCCCGGATAGAGGTGTCTCAAATGAGGGGTTCCATAGTATTCAAGTCGATTGCAACTTAAAAGCGGCATCACTCTGCAACAAAATATTTGGTGTCCCTGTCAATAAAATACGTAAATAAGCTTGGCCCATCTTCAGTTCTGCAGAGAATCTAGTTTTCTTTGCTTTAGACGCTGCATTGAAAAAAAAAAAGAAGATACGCGGTATTCAATATTCCGATAATTTCTTAGGATGCTTTCATTTGAAAACAAAATTTTTGGTCGTTGCAACTGGTTTTTATCCCTTTATTGTTATAAGTCGATTAAGCACATTTTCGCGGCTTGAGTATTATCCTTAACGAAAAACCTGCAGTTTTGAGAAATGCTACAGCCGCCGAGTGGTTGAGCAAACCACGGAACCTCCGGGAAATCTGTAAATATGCAAATTTGTTCACGTTGCGCATTGGGTGAAGTATTAGGATTCGCATGGAAAGGAACATTCGCACTCTCAATCTTCAAAATGTCTGGTCTAGTCTTAAATACGGATGAATTGTCCCCACTCAAGTGGTTGTTCTCTCACATCGTGTGAATCGTTTAGGCTCATTTTTGGGAAACTTAGCTCGGTTTTAGTTCAGCTGCTCAGCCCTCTACATAATCTTTTCCAAGATAAGTCTGTGAGTAATGCCAACCAAACGAATCCACTGGAAGCAACATGCTGTAAATTCGCGAGTCCGGACGCCCCGATCACCCCGAAATTCTACAGGCATGTAACCGTGGTCGAGCGTAATTGTGTTAATCATTTATTTAAAAACATCCGAACGCCTACGGTACTAAACATGAGTAGGAAAATACATATTAGAGAACTAACACTTACAAATACACTCATAACAAAGGAAAATATTTACCTTAACGGTGCATAGCATAGCGAGAGGCTGCCTCTTAAAATGTGGACAAAAAAATTGATCCACAGGACCTAATTTATACACAAAACCTGACAAATTACTCGATATATTTTCGTAACATCCCGCAACAGTACAAACATCAATCACAAGTACACGATACAACAAATGAAAAGTATAAACACTCGCATTTAATTAATACGTAAACGAAGTACACACAGAAAACTATTTCTCAATAAGTTTTGCGATAACAATGCATCACAGTCAATGATGTTACTTTTTGCTCGTGTTCCTCATTCCAGCGTCTTGTATATTGAAACGGAATTAAAGGCCGCCAATTTCAGCCTAAAGGTTTGCCGAGAGCCTCGGGATGAGGCATTATTAGGACACGCGGTACTCAAACCGTTACAGCTTCCAAATTATGGTTCAATTATTAAATCTCGGGGTACACACCCTTGCACGGTGAATGTCGCCACAGTTTAAGTTGCCGGACGTCAAGGGCAATGAAAACACATTTTTCTTCTAAAGTAATCTTTATACACGAAAAAGATCTTTCAAACATCGGACTTTTTAGTTTCTATTTTATTTCATTGCTATTCTTTGACAAAAAATATAGAGTTCCGCAGGTTCCACAGGTTCCGCAGGTTCCGCAGGTTCCGCAGGTTCCGCAGGTTCCGCAGGTTCCGCAGGTTCCGCAGGTTCCGCAGGTTCCGCAGGTTCCGCAGGTTCCGCAGGTTCCGCAGGTTCCGCAGGTTCCTCAGGTTCCACAGGTTCCACAGGTTCCGTAGGTTCCGCAGGTTCCGCAGGTTCCGCAGGTTCCGCAGGTTCCGCAGGTTCCACAGGTTCCGCAGGTTCCACAGGTTCCGCAGGTTCCACAGGTTCCGCAGGTTCCACAAGTTCCACAGGTTCCGCGGGTTCCACAGGTTCCGCGGGTTCCACAGGTTCCGCGGGTTCCACAGGTTCCGCGGACTGCCGATGCGTAGTTTAGTAACACCCGCCCTCAGCGAGATAAACTATGAAAGACGCTGACGAAAGGTCCCCTGAAAGAAAACGAAAGTGCTTACGTTTGGAAAAAACATTCTCACTAAAGCGTGATGCAAAAATAACTGGGGCGTAGTCGATGACAACCCATATCTCTATTACACAGTTGTATTACATTACATTACATTTAGACGGCCATTTTTTTGAAACCAGAAGATCTACGATCTAACAAATATTTCCATCTGAGTAAGAGAAAGCCTATAAGTTCTCATAGAAAAAAAGATAAATTATTTTGGGAAGTCACGTTTACAAAGAGGAGATCAAAAGTTTGTCGTGCTCAGAGATTTTTCGTGAGATTTTTCCTCTGGCACTAAACTGTTTACATGAAGGAGGGCAAGGACGCTTAACCTTATGGTTGCGTAAGCACTTAATATCTAACCGCAAAAAGGTTGAAAATTCTCAGTCTTACATGAAAAACGAGAATCTGATTGCATTGCCGTACACATACGCACGGGATGTTGGAGATCAGTTTAAATTGAGAACGTAAATTGATGACCCTTTTCTTAACGAAGGTTTCTGCGATTTCGGTGTAAAATACTGAGTTATATTAAGCTTGATATGTAATGCCGGCTTCTTACTGCACGTGTG